GGTGTCAGTGTATTGGACACCGGCGTTTCGGTGCGTGACGTGGGCATATCGGTGCGTCTAAGGAGCTGAGTCTCTCCCAGGTTAGCGATTCGAATATTCGAGCTGTACCGTCAGTGGTCCCTCGACGCTGCAGGTTCAGGATCTGTCAGCGGTGCGCAGTTTGCATATTTTTCAGGCCGTGGGTTCTGATGTCCTCAGCAAATAGGGTTTTGTTTCGCTCTGATCTACCACTTGACACGGAGACTGTCAAGATGCCAAACATCATGGGCCTTGTTCACTCAGGAAATTGGGGGGGGGGGGGGGGGTTGGGCTGTGTTACACTGAAGTTTCCCTTTGGTGTCCCTGGCAAACAGCGTCAACCAGGGTATCAAAAACATTCAACAACACACAAACTAAAGGCCAAAGGCCCCCTGGAACGGGGTTTCCAAGCACTATATTGGGGGGGCACACGTCTCTCAAAATTGGGGGGGTTGGGGGTTGGATGGTTCTGAGTGAAACCAAAGGACAAGGTCCCAAAATGTGAGAAACCCCCCACAAATATATAATTATATATATATATATATGCATAACTAAATGCCTACTTCAGGGGGCAGCCAGCGACTTGCGGCAGGTGGTGCCCACGAAGCCCTTCAGCAGGCAGAGTCGCCATGAGTCGCCTGTGCAAACTGCGCCCAGAAGCAATCCCGCCGTGGTTTTGAGGAGGCCCCCTATCGTGATAGCTGAAGGCTGGCTGTGGTACTTGGTGTTCTTTGCGGCCTTGGTTTTTGTTAGGGGGAACCATGAAAGGAAGGACCACCCCCCCTCCTCCTCCCCCTCTTTTTGCCGCATGGGCCCCTCCACGGCATTTCCTAGATAAACCCTGCAATGTGGCCCCTTCTTTACATGGTTCCCCTTGCGTGGACCCGGTCTGAATCTCTAAAGATATCCAGAATCCGAGTTCAGCTCGATCACAATCCTTAGTTTGGGGAAGGAGAGTCCTTTCTCATCGTCGGCCGATACAGTAGCCCAGTTGTACCTTTGCTTGTTTGGGAAGGGTCCAAAATATGCTTCCCCGACAAACAAATAATCCACTTGCACGCCAGTTGTAGCACGGGCTAAAAAGCTTTGAAAGCCGCGTTTGGCCCATGAACAATGCAAGCCAGGGGCGGGAAAGTTAGCTCTAAAATGGGCAAGGTTAAAGCATCAGACAAATTTCCGCTTCGTATGAAGTCCTCACCTTTTTTTAATCGCCAAACTTTTGGCTTTGCCGTTCACGCAGGAAGAGCGCCTGGTTCCTGGACGGCCGCTCTTTGGAGGTGGCATCGCAGCTTGGACGGAGTGCACAAGAGGCTTGCAAGGAAGTGAGGACCAAGTAAGGCTATATTGTACGAGGTTGTTCAAAAGTCAGATCGAACCAGCTGTTCTTGCATGGGTTCATAGATTCAGCCTTTGAGATAAGCTTGGGTGTTCTTTCTGAGATGTTGTGAACTTGCAGATGTTGCAATAGTTGGATATCTTGGGAATGTTTCTGCGAAATGTTTGTCTTGAAGTTCTGCTCAAAGAGAGCGATTGTGGACGGCCCACGGACTGCGGGAAACGGGGGCTGACGCACGAAGAAATGTTCGCACCTGTCTTGTCAGCATGTCTCTATTTACTATTTGTTCTTGACCCCCACTTACCTCCCGCTTCCATTGCATGTGAACCGGCTCTTTGTTGTGAAAGATCCGAGCATCCCACCGTGTGCTCGTAAAGTGGCAACAGTGCATTCTATGGACGCCTGTGTTGGTCAAATAAAAGGTCGCGGTGAGGCTGTCACATTCGCTTTGAGGATTCCTCAGGTCTACGGAAGACTGGCCGCTCATGTTTGGTTGGGCCCCCTCTAGTATGTCAGCATGTCTGGTTCATGTCGGGTGAGGCAAGACTGAATCCTTGAGGTGCGGTCAAAATATCCAGCAGTCGATGGTTCATTTGGGAGGAACAAAGGGGCACTTGCCAAAATTCCAACGAAAACGACGGGGCTCACTAGTCTTCGGGGGCAGTTCTCTCGGGGAAGCAAATCATTTTGACCATTCAGAGGCCATATGTGTGGCCATGTTGGCCCCTTTTGGGGCTAACTAACGCTTGATGAACCCAGAAACCCAGGGTTCATACCAGGGGTTCACATATGAACGTACACATTCAGCCTTTGACGATGGCTCATTTGCTGAGGGTCAAGTCCAGCGGCACAGAGGCATTCCAAGCACTGGCGCCCTGGCACTCAACTGGAGTCGCGCGGATTGGGATTGGATTGGGGATCCCGGAAACGGGCTTGAGACCAATGCAGAGGGGGTCTAAAAGGAGAGTGTTTTGAACACTTGTGGTTCCAGATGGTTTGTCATTGGAGAGGATGTTAGGGATGTTAGGACCAAAGGGATGCCCCATCCAGATGCACAGACTGCGGCATCTGGATCGCAGCCTTGAGGTAGGGGTTGTCCTTTCAAGGCGACCTCTCCCGAAACAAAAGAAGCACCGGCTTCCCCCGCCGCAAAAGCGTGGATCTCTGGATGGCTTTTGGCATGCCAAACTTAAGGACAACCCTGACTTAGTGGGCGGCAGGGTGTCGCAGTGGGGCAAACAATGTCAACGGTTGGGAAGTAACACGTTTCATTGTCCAGGGCTCCTTAAAAGATACATGTTGCAACCATTTGAACCATGTTGCTTTTTCAACACCAAAATAAAGAGAAACCACCATTTACAAGGCAATGCTCAGGTGTATAACGTAAGGATCCCTGTCTGGCCCTTTTTTTTGGCCGGCTTTGTTTGGTCCGTTTCCCTTGGCCACCAGCAAGTCGGAAGTCGGAAGGACGGGAGCGTGGCCACCTACGCGCAGACCGACGGCAGCTACTCTGACCCCGAGCGGGGCATCGAGAGTGGAAGGTGAGCCAGCGCCCAAAACCTTCATGGGGCATTTGAGGTCTTCTGCCATCTGGTTTGATGGGGATTTTTCAGAAGTAGCTAAGTATATATATATATATATACTCCTTTGTAAGCATGGTAGAACCAAAATGCGATAGGTTTTTGTTACTCACGTGTTCCTTCTTGTTCGGACGCGGGTTTCCCTTGATCAGCCAAAGAGGACACTGGTGTCTGTTTGGCTCAGTTGAACATAGATGGGCTCCGCTGATTGTTGGTTTCTGATTTTACCAGTGCCGTATATCATCAACAAGCGCGGGGGGCCAAGCACGGATTCGCAATTGGGTTGCGACTCGCGAACGCCTGCACTCACGATGAACCTTATTTTCTTAGGGAGTTGATAGTTCAGCTTGGTAATTTTATATAGTTCATCCAGTTGTACGTTCCTTCTTAGGTGGTTTGAACACCTTTTGCCTTATGATGGCTGAGTTCCGTTTGAAGAGGCGTGTTTTTTTGAATGTTTGGGGCGGCATCGAGGAGTCGAGGACGGAGTGGAGGTAGCCGACAAAAATCGGCATTTCGGCCTGCAGCATCTATAGATTTTAGCACAGATGCGACTGGCATTTGTCGTGACCACCGTTGCCCCTAGTTGACATACCCCAGAAAAAGTTCCGCCCTGGATCCGTGGAGCGGTTTTTCCAGCCCTTCTGCAGGTCCTCTTCCTTCCGGGTAGGACTAACAAGCCTTGGACCTTAGAACTGGTTATCTGAGGGTTAGTTTGTTTGGGGGAAGTGGAAAGGGAGATTGCTATGGACTAGCAACGTCGTAGATGACAACATTTTGGATAGGCGATGCTTAACCACCCAGTCTAGCCGCAAAAACAAAGGATCAGCAACGACAAATACTGACCCTGTGTGGCTTCGTTCCTTGGTTTAAAATTTATAAGTTGATTGGGGATGATCCCCAAACTTGATGCTTTTGTGCTGGCCGAACGACTCCTGTGTTTGCTGCGTATGTTCCATGTTTGAGGAATAGACATTTTGGGACCCTGTTTTCAAAGGGCGTTCGCGACTTGGAGGTTGGCGCTTGTTGGCACGCAAAAACGCACAAGGCTGGAAGTCCATCTATTTCAATGATATATGCACTTGTCAGATGATGGGTGTTGACAGGGAATCAGACTGAATTCCGAACTGATGAGGGTCAACTTTTCTTTCCCTCCTTGGCAACATATGTTGCCCTTTGCCAAAAAGAACATGGACCTCTTTGGGGATTCCAAGGGAAACCACAAGAAGCTCACCGCAAAGCTGGGGTCCAGTCCGTTATTCGTCGCCAGGCTGGAGGAGACCGGCCTCGCGGCCAAGCTCTGCATCGATTTCAGGCCAGCGGGTGTGTCCAGAAAGGAAACACGCAAGACAAACTCAACATGACCTTATGTGGCTTTTTGGATTGGCGTTTTGGATTTCTGCGTAGGGTTGCAGATTCCCCGTTTTACCAGAAAAAATGGAATCATTAAAAATCAAATAGAACATATACCAAAAAAAACACGGTTCCCATCACAAATATACAAAACATGCATGCTTGCATGGATGCTCATTTACGAACGTTCGGACGTACAGACATAGACAGAGACAGAGACAGAGACAGAGAGAGAGACAGAGACAGAGACAGAGACAGAGACAGAGACCGACACACACAGACAGACAGGCAGGCAGGGAGGCAGGCAAGCAGACTGACAGACAGATAGGCAGGCAGGCAGACAGACGACAGACAGATAGGCAGGCAGGCGGACGGACAGACAGACAGGCAGGCACGCAGGCAGGCAAGCAGAATGACAGACAGGTAGGCAGGCAGGCAGGCAGGCAGACCGACAGACAAATAGGCAGACAGACAGATAGGCAGGCAGAGGCATGCAGGCAGGCAGACAGACAGACTGACGGACGTACGCACGTTCAGCAGGAGGCATCTCGAACATCGCAAAGGACCTTGGCGTGCTTGGCATGTGCCTGGTGCCATTACAGACTTTGCGAAACGTCTCTGCTAGTAACGATCTTCATGCTGTCCTGCTGGCTTTTAGAGCCAACATGGCCATGGTCGCTACATGTTCTGTTTGGTGGCTCCTTAAGTTGTCCGTTTGTCCCAGGAAGCTTCGAGAACCATAGTTGTAGGAATTCTGGAGTTGGCCGATTCTCTGTGCTACCAAGGAGCACACCTGTACAAGCATGATGAATTTGTTATGGGGACGCAGAAAATCCTGGAATTTGCTGTGGCAGATTGACAAAGGCTCAATCTACCATGCCATGTTCTCCTGCTTGGAGGTTCAGGAACGTGGCAGGCAGGTCAGCAACGGTTGCGAAGGATCATGCCTTACCTGTCTGGCCTGCAAGCATCATGACGTCGCCTCTTTGCTAAGTACGAAGAATCTTGAAGTAGCCGGACTGATCCAATCGATTCGTGCTGAGGGATACCTTCAAAGCCAACCACTTTGCCGCCTGGCCAGAAACTGGCGCTTGCAGTCCACATCCCACAATTGCTCGTCGTCAGTCATGATGAACACATGGTAATGTGTCGGGGGACCCGCTAAGAGATCATGTGACAAGGCGGCGCTTGCGGCCGACGTGAGGTTAAGGCTATGGCTTGCATGGCAACCCCAGGGCTGCACAATATATTTGCCGTCGATTTGCTTCTTGCTAGTGGTCGCTGGAGCATTTCCAAGCGGCAAAATCAGAGTTCCCGGGCCAGCCCAGAAGGATAGTCCTGTTCCGTTGCTCTGATCTTGCCCACGTTGTGTTGCAGATGCCTTTGGCGCGTTGCTCATGGGCAGCAAGGTTCGAGGGTGTCTAAAGTTTTAGCTGCTTGATGGGGAATGGTCATGTCTGGTAAACATGGCTTGCTTCAGCTGTACCGTACCTAAGGCAAACGGACGTTGAGGAGAGAATCTCTTTGGATCTCTTTGGGCTATCTCTCAGGGCGAGAGCGTTGGTGAATGTTGACCGCTTGTGGAGCTTTTTTGCATGGTTGTTGTTGGGAAACATTTTACGTTTTTGCTTATTGTGGTTTAGTGGGAAATCCCCACTTTACTGCTATTGTTTTTTGCTCCCCTTCCAACGTCAACCAAGGGTAGGCATGCCCGGACAAGCGCTGCATGAGGCCTTGATGATTGATCGAAGGTTGCGTGCCTGCCCAAAAAAAATCGGTCACCCACCGAGTATGCCTTAGTCAAGGAACACCAGCCGCAAAGTGGCCCCGCAATGGCCAAGGGTTCACTTTGGGTCCACACAAAATCAGCCTTTGGAAAGGGGCGTGACAACTGGCCTGTCCTTCAGACGGTGGAGAAAAGACGCAGCTGTTGCTTTCAACTTCCATTCTTACGCCTGACCGAAATTGTTTTCCGACCTTGCGTTTGGGAAGCACGGGACTCTGAATGGGGGCAGTGAATAGGTCGCACTTTGGGCATGCTCAATTTCCAGTCACCGAAAATCTTAGCTGGGAGAAGGTTATTATTTGTTTGCTCCTTGGACACCGGTTGATGTGTGTTGTTTAACGAGCCTTCGGCTCAGGAAAGAACCCAATGACGTTAGTTGGGCCGCCTCACGTATTCGGTTTGGATTGCGACCATCCTCAAGCGGGGAAGGGCTGTAACAGGTCTCGTCCAGCATTTGTCTTTTGACTGTGGGGCCTAGTTGTTAAGGGATTTGAACCCTTTCATAGGTGCCCGTTATAGGTTAGTTTGGTTTAAAATAGATGGCACTGCTCTAGATTGGTTGGATTCCATTTGCCAGGGCCATCTTTGTTTGAAAAAGGTCACCTATGAACCCTTGGTTTCTCTTGAAACCAATAAGAAGCCGCCCTTAGCCTGAACTTCAAGCACAGCCTCAGCAACTGGCAGCCTAAGCTGAAGCCAAGCTTCAAAGGCCGTTTTCCTGAGAAGGGTTCTACGACACCTCGGAAATACCCCAGATTTTTTGGGTTTCGCCGGCATTTGCCGATTTTTTGCCGTAGGCATCTGCGGGTTGGATTTTCGGCTCAGGTGATGCTGTCCACCCCGAGGGCCGGCAGCCCTCCAAAGTCTTGGACGGCAACTCGAGCGGATGGCGCTTACTCGTTAAGATTCCGGGTTTCGAAGGGACCACCGAAAATCTGGGTGGCAAATCTGACACATTTACAAGCAAATTGGTTGCTGATGTGCCAGGTTGCATTTCGAAGAGCTAACATTTGGTGTTGATTTGGCGATTGAGGGAACACAGATGGACTATGGAAGTGTCCATGGTCCTTGGGTTGTTTTATCCAGATTGGAGCTACCACTCAAAAGGGTTGGTACAAGGGATATATGTATTGGAGTGGAGTAGGGTGGCGGTCTTTAAAACGCAACATTCTCATTGCGCACTTGGTGGCTTTGGCAGGGCGCGAGCAGGTCTTGAAACGAAGGCATCAGATGAGGCTAAAAACGCAGCCTGCTTTTTTTTCCATGGAAGGTTGGTGATGGTGTTGTGAATATGGACTCTTGTGAGTGACGATAGATGAGAAGCAATCGGACGATGGGAATACCGCGGGAAGACCAGAAGACTGCGGAAAGAGACTACAGGATTGGATGGCCAACCCCGCCCTGCCTGAGAAAGAGAAAGCGAAGGCGAGGGTCAGGTCCGCCTCGGCGCGAGCTTTGAACGGAGACATTAAGCCGAGCTTAGCATAGCCTATCGCAGTGTCCATTGTTTGGAAAGATGGTTCCAAGATCTCCGCCCTATGTATGGAAGAGGGGGGTATACCAGGCTCCAGTAAAAGTTTGCTTTTGTGGGCACGGGAAATGTGCGGAGGGCACTTTTTCCCAGGGGTCAACCCAGGATTCCGATCGACTAATTATCCATGGGCAGGGTGAATGCGCCTAATTTGTTCCTGCTGCTGCAGCACACACACACACACGTTGCCGCTTGGTGCAAGCTGGACGCTGGTTTTTGTGGAACCCGTTTCCTGTCCCCCGACCACGGCCAAGCATGCTCGCCCCCGGGAACTCCGAAGGTTCAAAAACCCGGGTCCGGGGCCAAAATGTGTATGGCACAATTCGTTCATGCATACTGGCATTTGAACAAGTTCCACGGTCATTTCAAAGTGCTGAGCTGAATTGTCGTAAATGCGCACCGTAGTTACAAGTCGCCTCTGGTCAGGTTGGTCTCGCAGCCAAGGTCTGGGCGTCTCACAGCCTGGACGCTGAGCAGCTTGGCAGCGAAAACGGAGGAGATCGAAGTGGACTCGGAGTAATCCGGATTCTCAGAGGAACGCCTTTAAATGGGTCATGTTTTTACCAAAAGGGCGTCAAAATGGATCATTTTCTGGCTCTAACAGGGGAACCCCTTCTGTCTTCTGGTCCTCCAAATGAAGCAAATGTGCGGGTATTCTCCAGCCGCGAGACCTCTCGCGGTTGCCTGGAGAACGGTCTTCTGGGCCAGCCGAATTTCGAAGCGCGGTCGGAATTTGTGAAAGAAAGGTGTCAATGTGCCTTGAACACGCCCAATAATATGTTTTTTGTAGGTGAGGTGTGGTTTTGCGGTAGAGTGAGGTGAAACATTTCAGTTTTTAGATTTCAATGGGTGGAGCAAAGTCTGGGCCGACCTTCTGTCAGCTTTGCAGCACTCAACCCATCAAAACACTTTCCCAGCATGCAGACTGCAGTGAAGCCTAGTTCCATTTGCGAGTCGATTGCAAGTTCCTGGTGCGTTGAGAAAGAATCGTGGCGAGATGTGGGAGGGATCTAGAGCACTGTAAGGACTAAAACAGCAAGGGTGTCAACTCTCTTCAAGCAGCCAGACCCCTGCATGCTCTCCACGTGGGTGTCAAGCTTCTTGAGTGCGACTTGCGAGTGACATGGTGAAGTCAGTTCCGACACCCATCTCAGCTATGAGCTTTGGGCTTTGAGGATCTCCAAGATTTCCCCGCCCCCCCCCCCCGGACCAAAAACAGAAAGAAAGAAGACAGAACGTGAAACTAACACAAAAATCGCGAGTTGGTCGGTGTTGCTTGGTGTATTCGCATACTCGGAGCTCTTGCTTCTTGAAGGCCAGAGTGCACTCGTTCCATAATTTGCCCCATGGATTCCCACCGAGTGAAGGGTATTTGGGGGTGGCCTGAATTTCAGCAGGGGCGCACAGACATTTGTGTCCATCTGTGTTAGCCTTCAATACGAGCTTGATTTGACCTGAGCCATGAAACCATGGGCCAATCGGATTTGGCGAGAGTCTGAGAATGGGCAACTTTATGCTGACCAGTTGCAACATCAGCGCTTTCCGAGCTCGTAGATATATTGGGTGGAAAGGAAACCGATGGTAAGCGATTCCTGACGCGGGGATACATAGATTCCATAGATTCGACCTTTCTGGGTGATTGGACAAAACCATCATTTCAGGTCTCCGTCTTTTTCGGAGCACTTCGCACGTCGACCCAAGGGAACGCACTTCGTTCGCTTTTCATCTTCCCCTGGATATCGGAGGCCCAGCAGGTGGACCATGGTGAACAACCGCAGCTCCCCGGAGCCCATCTTCCCGCAGGGCTACGCCGCTGGGAGCGAAGCTTCTTTTTTTTGGGGGGCGGATCTGTGGCCGGCTTCGGGCCGGGCAGATCTGTGGCGAGTGGGATTCCCAAGATCTAGAGCGCTCAAGGCCAGTTAAAAAGTGTCCAAACCCCGCATGCGAAAGGGCAGGATGGGGGTGCTGGCACAGTGTTTGTCCGTTTTTTTTTTTTTTTTTAAAGCTTTGGGGCTTGAAGCGAGATGTATTTTCCCTGGCAGGGCAGGGAGTTCCTGCACGAAGAGCGGCTGAGTTGCCCGCAGCCACAGGCGGGGCGAAGGGGCGAAGGGGCGAAGGGGCGAAGGGGCGAAGGGGCGAAGGGGCGAAGGGGCGAAGGGGCGAAGGGGCGAAGGGGCGAAGGGGCGAAGGGGCGAAGGGAGTTCAGAATCGGGCCCTCCATTGGTTGTTTCCAACTAGGGGGACCCTTTCAAAATGGGGCAGAATGGGGCTTTGTGGATCTGTTGATTTCCCGAGCCAACCCTGACTGTCCTGAGTATTGGGGTCCATTCCCAAAAAGCATACGCTGCCTGGCAGCCATTCAGGCCGCGGTTGTGCTTTGAAGTATTTTGCTTTGATAGCTGTCGACAGCTTGCATGTGGATGCCCGAGGTCATGCCTTGCGAAGCGTGCCTTGGCTCAACAGAGAGAGAGAGCGAGAGAGACGCCCTTTCAAAATTCATATCTATAGTTTTGGTCCTCCGAATCAGGTAGAAGAGGTCCAAAACGCAGGTCAGACCAAGTCGCGCCTTGGAAACGTACGATTTGTGTTGCGGCAGCTGAGGATGGAGTGCCCGCTGAACCACTTGCCGAGTGCAGACAACTGCGCGGGCTACGTCTGCGAAGAGTCCGACGAGGCATCCAGCCAGCCGGGCGGTCAGAGAGCCTGGCTCCGAGAGCTCACACAATTTGTCTCAAGCAGGGATTTATAAATGAGTGGTATAATATTATGTATAATACATATATATATATATTACACCCAGAACTTCTTGAAGGACAATCTCCCAACAAGTTCCTCAAAAAGCAAACAACAAAACGTGAATTGCCGGGAAAAGCGCTTATTTGCCCAAGAAAAACAAAAAACGGATGTCGGTTCGACCTCTCTATTCTCCATGGTTGCTTGCCAGCCACTTGGCCCTGATCAATTCCATGGTCAATCCAAGCCTACGAACTCTAGACCCTTTCAACCTGTGGACACTACCATGTTGAGTATCATTCCTCATGCCCAGTGCGCAACTTGTTGAAGCGACACAGGCAAGTTCTAAAAAAGTATTTTGGCCTTTCCGCGGATTTCCGCGGATTTCCCGCCGAAGATTCCCGCCGATTTCAGCGTATTTTCCGGCGATGTCCGCGTATCTTGAGTGTCCAAATTTGTGGAATTGTGGCACCAATCCATCGATTGAAACAATTACGGGCAATTTCCTTGATGAATCTAATTACCTTGTTTGGGGTTGTACCATGTCATGGAAACCTACATGTCCCACTCCTGCTTTGGAAGGTGCCCGCATGAAAGCCTTCGAGAAACGCTGGTCGATGTAGAAGATCAGGCCAAATCAGCAGAAATGGCTGCGAAACATACAATTGGCAGTTTCCGCCTAGACTTCGGAAATTCATGAGGCGAAATAAGCAGACAAAACGCAATAAGCAAAACTTTGTTCCTTTGGAGGGTCCAGGTATATAGTATGTGGGCGACCACGACAAATATCGTGTCGGGAGTTGCCTCAGTTCCAACCTAGGAAGCGCCAAAGTACATTGTGACTGGGTAGTTTCTGTCATTCCAACTAGGTTTTGCAGTAGTCCCCTTTTACCCTTGTTTTTGTATTTGGGGGGGCCAATGAATTCACCATAAAGTTCTTCTGGGCCATCGAGGGGTCTCGAGGTGGTCATGTCCCATAGCGCAAGCCTTGCATGGTCCTTGCGTGTGATATCTCAACAGATGACTATGGGTCAAAATTAAGCCACCACAAAACCACAGGTGTTGGTCCATGTTTCCACTTACTAGGCTTCCATTAGGGGTACCTATTTTTGACCCACAGCCAGATCACTTACCATGGATGCCCATCCGCTTATCATGAAGGCTAGGTGCTCTAGCAATTTGGGCTTGGGCGCTCAAGGAGGTACTGATTCGTATTGATTCCAAAAAACAATTCTTTGCTACTGGCCCGGGCTGCGAATCTCCCCCACACTACCAGCAGATTCTCATCATGTGGTCCACATGTGTGGGATTGTTTGCTGCTATAGGGAATCTGTTTCGTTCGGACCTAAGTTCTGGTCTTCATGAAGTTCTGGGTGTTCATTTGAGATTGCTTACATGTCGTTGCTGGGCTAGCTAGCGGCGCCTTTTAAGTGGAACCTAGGTTCGAATAGCATAGTCAAAGCTCATTTGTCGGATGGTCAGACATCGGGGCTTTTTTGGGGACATCCTTTCGAGGCTTCGCCAAGCTATTCTTTCCCTGGAAAGTGTTCGGAGTGCTTCCTGTTTATTTCACAGGGGCACTTAGCTCCATGTTGGCAACCCTATTGCTGAAATGTGCAGACCAAGTTTCCAAATGGCTGTGGGTCAAAAACAGGTACCCACAATTGCCCCTTGTAAATGGAAACAATGACCAAAACCTGTGGTCCAATTCCTGGTGGTTTGATTTTGACCCATACCCAAATGAGGCCTGCTTCACGGGTGTTTCACACTGTTGACAGTTGATTGACTTGCCGGTGCCCATCTCAGGCAAAATGCTGCGCCTGGGCTTGCAATGTATCGCCAACTCTCAGCAGTGCCAACGTTTTTCCTTTTCGCGGAGAGGAGTTCGCGTTTCCGTAGCTGGGTTCCCTATATGGCTGTGGGTCAAAACCAATGGGATCCCATTTTGGTTGGTAGGTGCACCACCCATTTTAGAGTCTATTTTAGTGGTTGGATTGGGATGTTCACTGGGGGTACGGGAATTTGACCCATGGCCATATTGCTTTTGGTCGTGTCAGCATCAACCACCTTGGGGCCAATCCAGGCGGGGGAATGTTTTGTTTGGGAAAATATAGGGAACCCAGCCTGTTGAAACCCTGTTGAAAGTCAACTACCAAACAGGGTTTTTGGTTTCGCATGGCCACTGGAGGTTTGCAGCAGTCTGAAGGTAGGCCCCTTTATACTCACTCACCCAGAGGTTGGCTCCTGGACGGGAAGTCTTCATGATCCCCCAATCGCTCGCTCGAGAAAACATGAGAAAGGCCGCGGTGGTGCAAGAGCTTGGTGTGTAGTTCTTAAGATGACGAGTGGGTGTTGGGACCAACAAGTTGGAGTAGTGTTTGAGGGTAAATCCAAGAAGGACACCGCTGACTCGGGCGGCTCATTGGTTGTTACAGGCAAATGGCTGTGGGTCAAAAATCGGTCCCCAATTGGAACCCTGGTAAATGGACACATGGATTAAAACCTGCGGTCCTCCGGTTTTGTTGTGATCCATGGTCACATGCCAACCCGGAAGAGCTCAGTCAGCCTGCTGCCACCAGACTCGCCGTGCGCCTGCGCCCAGGTATCAAGAAGGCCACATGCGAAGGCTTCACCTGCCCTGCAGAGACGCATACCTTGGTCAAGGAACCCCAGACCATGCGGCCCGCCTGAAGGGGTGCGGGCATGTCTGCTTTTGAGGGCACCCTTTTTGGGGGGAAGCCAAAAAGAAGCCAACCTCTATGATTTATTTACTTATTTATTTACTTTTTTTTGTTTGGTTTGTTCATTTATTTACTTATTCATTTTTTTTATTTTTTTTTTATTTATTTTTTTAATGTTTTTATGATATCTATTTGTTATTATCTTTTGTTGTTGGGGTGGGGATGGCCTGATACAAAGTTTGTTACCTTTCACGCTGAGAAGCGTGCCTGCCGTAGCACCCTGGCCGTAGAAGCTGCGAACAGAAACCGGGCGCTTTCAAAGGGAACACGTCTCTAGTGGTACCTTCCATATCCATTCCAGGGATCCTTCTCTTCAGGAAACCCTCAAAAACCCAGGGGAAACAGCCGGTTTTGGAAAAGAACGATGAGCGAAAAGAATGGGGAATCAACCCCTAGAACGTCCAGTTGCTTTGGGAAGCCCGTTTTCTGTAACCTAAGGAAGTTCACTAGAAGCTTCCGTAGTACTGAAACTAGTTAGAGGATAGCTCTTTCTCTGAGAAATGCACGCGTGGCGCGCGACAATCTATGAAGCAACGATGAAGGCGGTCTCGGAGCGGGGGAGCAGGCTGACGGGCCCATTGGCACGGCCGACACGCACTGCTTCGCAGCCTTTACTCGGCGAATCCTCTGTGCACTTTGGGTGGGTCGACGTGAGCCACTTGTTGTTGTTGGGTGGGTGGGTGGGTGGGTGGGTGGGTGGGTGGGTGGGTGGGTGGGTGGGTGGGTGGGTGGGTGGGTGGGTGGGTGGGTGGGTGGTGGGTGGTGTGGTGGGTGGTTGGGTTGGTGGGTGGTTGGTGGTGGTTGGAGGTGGTGGTGGTGGTGGGTGGTGGTGGTTGTTGGTGTGTTGGTTGGTGGTGGTGTGGTTGGTGTGGTTGTGTGGTTTGGTGTGTGGTGGTGTGGTGTGGTGGTGGTGTGGGGTGTGGTGTGGTGTGGTGGGTGGGTGGGTGGGTGTGGTGGGTGTGGTGTGTGGAGGTGGTGGGTGGGTGGGTGTGGTGGTGTGGTGGGTGGGTGGGTGGGTGTGGTGTGGTGTGGGTGTGGGGTGGTGTGGGTGGGTGGGTGGGTGTGGTGTGGTGGGTGTGGTGGGTGGGTGGGTGTGTGTGGTGGGTGTGTGTGTGGGGTGGGTGTTGGTGGGTGGGTGAGTGTGTGTGGGTGGGTGGGGTGGGTGTGGTGGGTGGGGGTGTGGGTGGGTGGGTGGTGGGTGTGGGGGTGGGTGGGTGGGTGGTGGTGTGGTGTGGTGTGTGGGTGTGGGTGGTGGTGGGTGGGTGGGTGGGTGGTGGGTGGTGTGGGTGTGGGTGGGTGGGTATTGTAGGTAGGTGGGTGTGTGGGTATTGTGGGTGTGGGTGTGGGTGTGGGTGTGGTGTGGGTGTGGGTGTGGGTGTGTGTGTGGTGGGTGTGGGTGTGGGTGTGGGTGTGGGTGGGTGTGGGGTGGGTGGGTGTGGGTGTGGGTGGGGTGTGTGTGTGTGTGTGTGTGGTGTGGGTGGGGTGGAGTGGGTGGTGGGTGTGTGGTGTGGTGGTGGTGTGGTGGGTGTGTGTGTGTGTGTGTGTGTGTGTGTGTGTGTGTGTGTGTGTGTGTGTGTGTGTGTGTGTGTGTGTGTGTGTGTGTGTGTGTGTGTGTGTGTGTGTGGTGTGTGTGTGTGTGTGTGTGTGTGTGTGTGTGTGTGTGTGTGTGTGTGTGTGTGTGTGTGTGTGTGTGTGTGTGTGTGTGTGTGTGTGTGTGTGTGTGTGTGTGTGTGTGTGTGTGTGTGTGTGTGTGTGTGTGTGTGTGTGTGTGTGTGTGTGTGTGTGTGTGTGTGTGTGTGTGTGTGTGTGTGTGTGTGTGTGTGTGTGTGTGTGTGTGTGTGTGTGTGTGTGTGTGTGTGTGTGTGTGTGTGTGTGTGTGTGTGTGTGTGTGTGTGTGTGTGTGTGTGTGTGTGTGTGTGTGTGTGTGTGTGTGTGTTTTGATGAATATGTTTTACCATATTCACCTCGCTCGCGCAACCCTCTGCGGACTTTCGGCGGCTCCACCTGGAAACAATGTGTGTTTTGGTTCTTGCGTCTTTCACTTGGCTCACGGAACCCTCTGTGGATTTTTGCGGGGGCCCTCGAACATCTTGATGTGTGGTGCATGTTGCCGCTTTTGTGGGGTGGAGAGAGAGAGAGAGACACAAAAAACTGGGAAAGAGGACCGGAAAGAGTCACAGGAAGAGAAAGAGGAAGGGAAAAAAGAAGAAAGGGAAAGTGAAAGAGAAAGCCAAAAAGAGAGATAAAGAGGAAGAGAAACAGAAAAGAAAGGGACAGAGAAAGAGAAAAACTATAAAGAGAAAATAACAAAATAAAGAGAAAGTGAAAGAGGAAGAGGAACAAGAAGACAAAATACAATGAGAGAGAAGTAGGACGAGAAAGAGAAAGAAGATGAAACAGGACAAGAGAGAAAGATAAAGAGAGACAGAAACAGAAATAGAAGGAGCAAAAGGCAGAGACAGAGAACAAGAGAAAGGAAACAATAAAGAGAAGGGAAAGCGAAAGAGAAAGAGAAAGAGACAGAACAAGAGACAGAACAAGAGACAGAACAAGAGACAGAAATACTGAGAAAAAGTAAGAGAAACCAAGAAGAAGAGAAAGAGAACGGATCAATATAAGGAGAGAGCTAAACTACAGAGGAAGAGAAGCAGGAAGAGAAACAGGAGACAAAGCGAGAGAGAGAGAGAGAATGAAACACACAGCGTGCTCCGCCGGACTTTATGGGAATTTAGGGAATCCCTTCAGACTGACATAGAATGACAAAGTCGAACGCTCCTCGCCCGTGGGACGCAAGGTTCAAGGCGGGGGGCTCAAGATGCAGAATCCTTTTTGGCGCACAACGCGAAACCGAAAAGATGTTCGCAGGGGCCTGGATCGAGATGCGATGATCTATGGTCTATAACCGCAGCATGTCGCATGGTGAACGCGCCCTTTCAATCCGCTTCCGGTTTTCGCGGAGTAGTCCGCACTCCCCAACGAACCTGGCGAGAGAATGTGGCAGTCAACTACAGCCATTTGCAGTACCCGTTCTGCTCTTCGATGGAAATGCAGCATCCAAGAAGCCGTTCGAATTCGGTCCCTTCGGCCGACTTGAATCGCAAGAATATGGAAGATGTTGCGGCGAGTTCTCTCCCTAGACCCGCCTGCAGACGCCAACGACCATACAATGCCTTGACTTTCCGTTCTTGTCGTAATGACTACTTTGTTTCAAGTAATATGTTTGGCGCGTGTCAGGCGGGTTGCGTCCACATGGGTGTTGCCATGGGTGACAGGCGTTGTAGGGCGAATGTTAGACTGATGCGCCATGCGACCCAAAACGAGGCCTTGAAAGCCCTGTTCTGCCCAGTGCCAACCTTTTCCTCTCCGTGGCTGGGACAGTCTCAAAAACCGACTTGCCATTTGGATAATTACATTTGGCAACCTGGCGTCACAGGCACATGCGGCGAGGGACATTGAGCGTCAACAAATACAAAACTCTCTCACCGAGGAGACAGCAGAAGTGACATCAACCAAGCAGCCCAGGAGCGCATGACCATCAGAAACGGTACATCTTTGACCCAGGTGGCAGACATTGTGTGCACGGTATCCGAAGTCAAGGGACATCGCTGTATAGCCACCATTTGTCTGGTTTGGGATCGATGTGTTGGCTTGATCTCCAAAGGAGCCCTGCATACGGCAAGTCTGCAGCACTGCATTGCACTTCTCTGCCCCATACAAGGCCTGGAGCCCATCTCTAGCACTGGAGGTTACATCAGAGCCCAGGAGAAAACACGCGCACAGGCCATTCACTTGAGGCATACAGGTTGCAACCGTTGTTGCTATGTTAACGTGCACACATATATGCATACTAATTTACTTGTATATTATAAAGCAAGAAGGTACCATGGGGGCAACAAACGAAGGGTTTGGGGTTAAAGTGAAGGCATCCCCAAACAGCCCAGGCACTGTGCGGAGGCGTCCTGCGCGGCTGAGGCGGGGGTTTGGGGTTTGGGGGGCAGTTTTTGGCGCGCGCCTGGAAGGGGAATGGGTCTGTGACAGAAAATCCCGGTGAAAGTGGTGTCCTGTTGGTGTCCGTTTTTGAGCAAGGGCAAAAGCATCCGCGGAAAAAGACCCAACTGCATCCCTCTTTGAAACAGGGTGACAAGTTGGGACCCGTGGAAAAAATATGAACTACATCCCTATGAAACCGTATAAAAGCAGTACAGAACCCGTATTTTCCGTATGCTTCTTGAAACCCGGGCTTCTCTCTGAGAAGCAGGTTGTGTTTCGGAACCCGCTTGTAGGATTTTGGAAGTAGGTTGAAGTGGAAGCATCGAGGCGAAAAGGCTTCAGATTGCAATTCGGGGGTCATGGGCTCCTCCGAAAGACAAGCCCAGCGCTCTCCTTCCGGCCAGTTTCATGGGGCCCTTTGGGCGAGCAAGT